TCAGGCCCGGCTCCAGCCTGATGGAGCAGCAGGGAAGTTCTGTCCTATTAGATCCCCGATACCATCACGTCCGCTGAAATCACCGCGGTCACATCTGCCACAGTCTCCCATCATTTCAGATCTCTTTCAAAAGGCTCAATCTCTCTGCTTTCAAAGGGCGCCGCTGGCGTTCCCGGCCCCTCCCCGCTGCCTGGAACAGCAATTTCACATCAAATCAAGCGTTTTGGACCCCCACCGAAGTCCAGAGTCCTCGGCGGTCTCCGTGCGTGTTGGGCGGGAGGGGGGGCGGTCTCCTCTGTACTACATTAATGTCTGCTTGGGGATTTGAAGCAAAAGTTTTGCTCTTTTCACCAGGTTCAGGGGAGAATAAACTCGGCAGCATACGCGCCGGGCGCTTTGTTGTCTCCATGCTCAGCCTGGAGGACGCGTCTTTCTGCTGGTCCCCTGCCGCCGCGGCAGTGCCTCTTTGAACTTCAGATAGCTTTTGACCGTGGAGACGAGGGAGGAAGAAGTTTGCGGGTGGTGAGATGGGTAGCAAGGAATGGGTGGAAAAGCTCCTTCCTCTGGTGGCAGTGCCACTGGGGGAGATGCGAGGGAAAGCAAGGATTAAATGCGGATGCTGACTTGAATTGCTTTCCTATTTCTGTATTTTTTTTTGTTGTTCAGCCTTTTTTCATGCTTTTCTCTGTCCAGCAGATGCCATTAAAATCCAGCATTTCCCCTTGACTCGGAGCAAATTACCTTGGTGCGGTAATGGTGGCTGCTGTGCCCTGGGTGTGATGCTCTGGATGTATCTACACCCAGGTGGCTGGCAGTACAGGGGCTCGGTGCAACTGTGCACACCTGTTCTCGATTGACATTTCTTCCCAAAGCCCTCTGTTTTGGAGGGGGAAAGTGGGGCACGGTTTTGAACATCAGCTCCCCTGTCATCAGGCAGTTGAAAGTACTTGCATCTCAGACCGCTGGGGCCAGCGGCTCGTGCCCCTGCGGTATGCATGAACACAGCCTGGCAGCCAGCAGGGAAATGAAGCGGGGCCAGGGATGCAGAACAGAGGAGGAGAAAAAGATGGGGCGCAGAAAAAGGGCAAGTGAGAAGGAGAGCGGGGCTGCCCCTATGTAGGATGCAGGACTGTGGGGCAGGGGTGAGGGGCTTTGCAAGGAAGGCTGAGACCCGCCCGCGCTGTTTGAACCCACGGCCAGGTATCCTGTCGGAAGAGAGACTGAGTTTGGTCCCCTGCCCCCATGAGGGATGCATTGCGCTGGCTTCTTGCCCGTAGCCTACCATGCCGGCCCCGGATGGAGCGGCAGGGCGGGCGGCCGAGGGAGTCGGTGCTGTTTTCATTGAGCTGATATTCCCTCGAACCTCCTCCACGGGGAAAGTTTTGTTCTCCCGGCGGATGCATCTCCGGCGCAAGCCAGGATTAGCGGGGTGCATCGGAGCGGTGTGGGACGGCCAGGCTCGGGCTGGATTTCCGTCGCAGCTGCTGCAAGCTGCGCGCCGGGGATTCGGGGGGCCGGCGAGCGTGCCAAGCCTCACGGCCACCTTCTCCCCCGGGGTGAGAGCGACGGCGGGGGCGTGGGCTCTGCGGAGGGTCAGTAATGAGTCGACTGTGCCAGGCAGGCTTGTGTTTTGCTTTAGCTTCGCTCGCCGCGGTGAGATCAGAGGCCACGTCTGCTTTCCCAGCAGCTTGGGGATTTAGTTTTTCTTTACCCCCCTTTCAGCTGGGCTGTCTAAGGTTGAAGGGAGCTCGAGGGCTGGGCCCAGGGTCATGCCGCAAGCTGGAGCCTGGGGTGGAAATGCAGCACGCGGCCCTCCTGGCTCCGGCTGCTAATGAAGATGGTTCCTAAGTACCTTGGCTGGTCTGCCTGGGGAGCTTGGGCCCAGCCTCTGTGCCACGGGAGCCTTCGGGAGCATTATAGCAAAGCCATGACAATAGAGACAGACCTGGGCTGGTGGATGGCAGCCGATCTCGCTCCAGAGCTGCCTGGTTTCCGGGCACGGGGGAAGCGATGTTTGCAGCTGGTCTTCTGGACACACCTGTGCTCTGTGTCGCAGCGTTGTTGCCCCTCCTCAACTGGGTAATAGTGACGAGTGTCATCTCCAGGGGTGGGTAAAGCATCAGGAGAAACTACCTGCTGTTGTATGGCTTTTGTGTGGACCTCATCCCATCGACTA